CAGCCCCATCAGGGGCACAGCAGGCCTGTGGCACCCAGCCCATCTCCCTCTGCCTGGGCAGGGCCTCGGAGCCCATGCTGTGCCCTCTCTTCTGTCCCCAGATGGAAGCCGGCATGTGGGGCCCTAGCAGGCGGCATGAGTGATGTGTGGGGCGATGAGGACCCGGTGGGGTCAGGTTGGGGCAGCGGGCCAGGGTCTCCAGAGCTGGGCACTGGGAGCAGGGGCAGAGAGCAGATCCTAGCTGGGGCAGAGTCCTGGTCTACCCCCTCTGGGGCCCCTGGGCTGTGAGGCAGAGATGGGCAAGGCCTGGACCCTTGATGGGAATCCCTCCCTGGCTGTGGTCAGCCTCAAGAGCCAAGGAGGCTCGGGGCTGGGGTGGGCAGCTCCCTCTGTTCCCCACGGGTCCCCACGAAGGAGGTCCTGCAGACTAGGGAGGCCCTGCTGTCCCCGGACCTGTCTGGAGCCCCCCACCTGGGCTTCTGGCTCTGGTTGCCCTGGGCGGGAGGGGCAAGTACCAGGAGGGGTGTCCAGTGTTTGCCGGAGTGCCAATGCCAGGGGCCAAATTGGGGGCAGAGAGAGCAGCCAGGCACCACCCTAGTCCCAGGTGGTCTACCTCAAGCCTCTCTGAAGGGCTGGCAGCTCTGGACCTGGCAGCTGCCCTTGCCCCAACACGGGGCTCTTTCATCAGGGCCCAGCCCCTGGCCTTCCTGGCTGTCCCTGTGCCTGGAGGCAGGACTGGAAGAGGCTGGGGGTCTGTTGTCAGGCCTGAGTGGTTTGCTGAGCCGGGGTCTTGCTGAGCCAGCCCACAGGCCCAGAGGCTCCTGGCTTCCTGGGCCCAGAGTTGAGACTCCCGGGGAAGGCCCCCAGGCTGCGCAGGAACCAGCCTCGGGGGCTGGGCACTGGCCCTCCAGGAAGCCCTGCCTGGGTGGGGCTGCTCTGCACAGCTGGTCTCGACACCCCCAGTCACCAGGAGCAAAGACGGAGAGGCTTTGGGAGGGGGACGTCCACAGGCCAGGTGGGTCCTGTCTGACTCCCGGCTGTGGCCTGGCTCCGCTGTCCTCTGCTAATGCCAAGAGGCCCGGGCCTGGTCTGAAGGGTGTCCTGGCTGAGGCCTTGCTGAAGCGGGGTGAGGGAGGTGCCCCTCCCCCCCCATCCCCATCCTATCTCTGTGTGTCTCTGTGTCTGTCTTGGACTCTGTCTCTGCGTGTCTCTGTCTCTCTGGCTCACAGACTGTCTTCCATGGCAGCACCCGGCGGCGTGATGCCCTCTCTCTGTGTCACTTCGCTCTGTTAACTGTGGGTGGGAGGAACGGCCGATGCTCCCTTGTCTGCGAGGTCAGAGGACGGGAGGGGCACAGGGAGGTGCACGGGGCTGGGACCGGGCACTCCCTCCCCAAGACTCATCTGGGGGCAGAAGGGGGTGCTGGCTGGGGGTGGGGACTCTGTCTCCGCCACAGTGTTCTTGGGAGCTTGTCAGAGAGCCCCCACCTGGCCCTGGCCTCGGGTTCCCCGGGGCGGTGCCAGCAGGCCCTGGTCTCCAGGCCAGAGGCAGTCATAGCCCCGACCGTGCTCACCAGGTCCAGGGGCACCCAGCAGAGCCCCTGCCCAGCCTGGGATGAGGCCTGAGCCCAGCTCGCGTCCAGCTGTGTTGGCAGCCGGGCGGTCACATGGCACAGCAGCCCTGGCACTGGAGCGGGTGTGTTTCGACCTCCAGTACCACAAGCTGCCTGCCCTCCCCACCAACATGCGGAGGGGAGCTGCCTGAGGCCCAGGGAGCCTGGGAGACCCCGGCTGCTGGCTGCCAAGGCCTTTGGGAGCTTGTCGGCCCCTGGCCCACGCCCACGGCTCAGTGGCGCTGCTCGGCCTGAGCAGTCTGTCAGGCCCCTTGGCCGGGTGCGAGGCTGGTGCCTGGGAATCAGTGCCCGGTCCCAGATGCAGGCACAGTGAGCAGGGCCGGCACGCCGAGGTCAGCCCATGGGCCCCGTCCTTCCACTCACCCCGCCCCGGGCCCGGCACTCGGGCTGCTCCCCGCCAGTGAGGGCAGGTGATACAGGAGGGTCTTTCGCGGGGGAGGGCGCACCCCAGAACAGGGCCGCGTGCTGGCGGGGGATGCATGTGGGGGGCTCTGGGTCCTCTTCCCAGCGTCTTCCTCCCCACCCCAGGACAGCAAGGGGCTCTGGGACTCTGCCTAAGAGGTTGCCTGGACCAGACAGAGAGGCTGGCCTCTGTGGTCTCCCCCTGTGGCCTCCCCAGGGCCACGGGGACCAGCAGGCCCGGAAGCCAGGGTGAAGGGACATGGGAGGCCGGTGTTCCGTGGCCGGTCCCGAGGGCTCTGTCCCCGTGGTGGGCTGTCCGAGGGAGTCCTGGGGAAGGGCCGCCGTCTTTGGGTGGGGCCTGCCGCCACCTCAGCACCTCTGGTCTGTGGACGCGGCCCCTTCCCCCAGGCCTCCCTCTCCCACCCGGCTCCTCCCCCAGGCAGCCCTCCAGGGCCGCGTCTGAGGCCACAGGCGACGCTGTCTCCACAGAGCCTTCCCCGCTAGCTTTTTTTTTTTTTTTTTTTTCTTTTAAAATTTAAATTTCTACGTATTTTAACTTCTGGATGTGGTGTGAGAGCGGGCCAGGTGGGGCCAGGCGGGAGTCCAGGCAGGGCCCAGACGCCGCGGCCCTCCATGGCGGCTCCTGGTCGGCGCGAGGCACGCTGGCTGGGAGAGACACCCCGGCCTCAGGAAGCCGCCGCGCTCTGCTCCCTCCCAGGGTCCCCAGGGCCTGTCCTGCTGGGAGGGGCCGGGGGAGCGGAGCTTGGCCAGAAGGCCACCTGGACACCCTCTCAGGCCCTCAGTGGCCCTAGCCACCAGCCCAGGTGACACCAATGCCTGCCCCAGAGTTTGCTGTGATCACCAAGGAAGCTGGCGGCCCCAGGCTTCTGTGTGTGCAGAGAGCTGCCAAAAACAGCCTCGATGGCCTTAGACGCGCCTGTCAGCCACAGAGAGCCCGCCAGGTGCCGGCCCCAGCCCCGCCGCATCCCGTGTGGAGAAAACAGCCCTGGATTTCCCGTCGTGGGTTTTGTGACTTTAAAACCCGAGGATGCTGATTGGGAATTAAATCCCAAAGGCACCTCTGGACGCGCTGGGAAACACGGCAGCTGCTGCTGGCCCAGCAGGTTTTTTCTTTCTAAATGGAAACATCATTTTCTATTTTTCTTGTGACATAAATGTGGTTTCATCCTGAAGTGAAAAAAAGCTAGAAAGCGGTTTGCCAAATGTGAGGGGCAGACCCAGGTGAGCGCCACTCCGGTGCAGTGGGCCAGGGCCAGTGTGATGCGGTGGCATCCGCCCAGCCTGGCCGACGTCTGCCTGGACCCTTGGGAGGCAGGTGACCCAGGTCCAGGCAGTCCAGGAGCCCCCCCTCCGACGGCGGAGCCAACCCCAAGGGCAAGGGACAGTGTCAGAAGTGCAGGGCACCCACGGGGCCCCCAGGGACCAGAGGCTGGAGCTGTGAGCAAGCAGCCCTGGGCAACGGGAGCTGCAGCTGGAGGCGCAGCCTCGCCATGGGCTCTGGGCTCTTAGAAGGTGCAGGGGGGCAGCTGCCTCCTTGCTGTCTGGAATGGAAGCCTGGGTATCTGGGGAACCTTTGGGGATGCCGGAGCCCCCTGCAAGTGCTCGGCCTCAGACTGGCAGAGCTCAGAACCAGGAGGCCTTGGGGGGACGCTCTGGGCTGGCAGGGGAGGTGGTCCCATCGCTGCAGCCCCAGTGGCCTTCAGCTTGTCACCTCCAAGGGTGGGGGCTCAGCACCGTGGGGTCTGGTTTCTCCCAGACCAGTGCCCCCCCAGCCTGCCCCTCTGCCCCCCTCGGCCTTCCTCAGCATATCCACCACCCTATGCCCAACCTGGCCCCAGCCAGCGTCTCCCTGAGAGCTCCCCAGGCCCCCACCGTGGAGCACCGCAGCTCCCGGGCGGGTCTTCACCCCGTGTGCCCCGGGTTCCTGTGCTGCTGTCCGTGCAGCCCCCTTTGTCCGTGGCCGCCCGTTGCTGGGCAGAAGCAGCTGCCTGTGCGGGTCTGGAGAGAGACGCAGGCTGCAGTCGGCCAGGAGATGGGTGTGCTCCCAGGGCGAAGCGCCCGGATAGCAGGAGGCTGGGTCTGGCCCGGCACAGGGAGGTGGGTGCTAGTCGTGGAAGAGTTGGGGACAGTGGCATGGCCCTCATGCTGAGCATGCTGAGGGACGCATCGGGGGCCTTGCACGGGGCTGGTGTAGGGCTGGGGCTGGGCCCTGGATGGCCTCCTCCCCAGGGCTCCGAGCGGGGTCCCTCTGAGGGGGGTGCTGCCGGGAGAGGCCGGGAGAGCGAGGGTCTGAGGAGGCTGGCTCCCTGCCCAGCGCTGGGACGGCAGAGGGTGAGACCAGTCAGGCTGTGCAGGCCCCAGGTGGGCACGGTGAAGCCAGGGGCCAGGGCAGGCATGTGGAGCCAGGAGGCAGGTGTCTGCCGTGGCTGCCTTATGTGCTGATTGAGTGACCGGTGCCTGTGGGCCACCTCAGTGCCCCTCCCCACGACCTCCCGGCCCCTCTCAGTGGCTGAGGGGCCCTCTGGAGGCAGCTGTAGAATGCCCCTGACCATCCTCCCTGGTTGGCGTGGGGTGGGGGGTCAGGCAGGCAGGACACCAGGTCCAGAGAGTGGATTACATGCGTCCTGCCTCTTGCCGTGGGAGCCCGTCCCGTGGGCAGGATTGCCTGGAGTGGGTAGTACCAGGTGGAGGTCGGGGCTGGCTGGCTGGGCTCCACGGCAGAGCTCTGTGGCAGGCGACAGGGACCCTCCTTCCCAGCCCCAGCCCGGCAGGGAATTCCAGCACTGACCACGGCTGGACCTGGGAACAGGGTGGGTGGGAAAGATGTGCTGGCCTGGAAGGGTGCCTGGGGGACGGCCACAGGCCTGGCCTGGGGGACTCAGACGAGCCACCCTATGTATCCCGCCTGCACCTCGGGCACCCCAGGGCTCCATGAAGAGCAGGGGCTGCAGCAGTGAGTGGCGGCGTGGGCTCTAGTCCCTCCGTGAGCGGGCGGGCATGTGGGGAGGGCCGAGCTGCCTGTGTGGGGCCCAAGGAGCAGTGCCCTCCAGAGCCACCACTGAGCGTTTTATTCAAGCTGGCAGCTGCAGGGCTCAGGGCTGCCCGCGGAATCGGGGAGCAGGGCCCGCACACAGAGGCAGCGTTCCCTTCTGTTCACACCGAGGTGGCCACCTGTGGACACGGGGCCTCACCGAGGCACTGGCGGCTCTGGGGTGCAGCTGTAGGTGGCCTGCCAGCCACCTGAGGCTTCAGGGTCTCCTTCTTCCAGGACATGGGGCCGCTGGCCAGAGCTGTTGGCGACGACCCGCAGGTGTTTGAAGGCAGTGGGCAGTGTGCGCCCCAGGAACGGCGGGGTGGTCACATCACGGATCACGACCACATACTCTCCTGCAAGGGACGGGCTGGGCCGGTCCTCAGCCAGGCTCCTGTCCCCACCCCTCACTGGCCTCAGCCCTGTCTTGTGTCCCCACTGGCCCCCATGTCCCCCCTCGGTCATCTCTGCCCGGGTTCCGGGATTCTTGGCACTGCAGCCACCCACTGGACCAGGCCTGGGGTGCAGGACGCACAGTCGGCGTAGGTGAATAAACTGATTTTGGTGAAGCAAAGCACCTCCTTCCTCAGGCCACAGCCCAGCTACGGCCTCCTGCTCGGAGGCTGGCGAGGACAGAAGCGACCCTTGCCAGGCGGCCACTCAGGAGCTGACCTGCCGCGGGGCTCCTGGGGCATTCTTTTGCAAATACTTTCCTACCTTCTTAGGAGAAAAAGCATTCATTTTCTCCATAAACTGATTTTTAAAATAATGAACCCTCCAAAGGCAAGAGCTGTCTGGTTTGCTTTTGAAGCCCCCGGCCCAGCCCCTTCCCCACACCCGCTGCGGGCTCTCTAGGTGGGGCTGGGGGACGGCCCTGCTCGGGGGACTCGGGAGAGAAGGAAAAGTACTTTTCCTTTCACAGTCTGTAAACTGTCTGGAGAGCTTCAAAGTTGGAGAAACCATAAAAAAGAAAATAAGAAATAACAAAAAGTGAGGTTGCCATGGAAACCGTCCTCTCCCCTCCCCTGAGCCCGTGGGGCTGGCACTGGAGCGTGGAAAAGGCGCCGGGCTGGCCCGGGCTCACACCAGGAATGCGGCCGCGCTGCAGCGGGCAGGAGTCGGCTCACACCGCAAGGCAGAGACGCATTCCAGACGCCGCCGGCCTGGAAAACAGCGCTGCTCCTCCTCCGGCCGCCTGTGCGCGCCCGGGCTGGGGCCGCGTGCTTGGCCCCGAGTCAGTTCCTTTAGAAAAAACCAAGGTCTGGTGGGGGCCTCGCCAGGGGAGCCCACGTTCCGCAGCCACAGCGCAGTGGGCACCGGGGCCAGCCTCCCTGGCGGGCGGAGGGAGAGCCGTGCATGGCAACGCCACCGTGTTTCCAAGCAGCCGGTTTCTAGGTGTTCCCAGGAATACAGCTCGCCCAGCGGCAGCCAAGGCGCTGGCCCGGGCCGGGAGAGCTCGGCAGGCAGTGGCTGAGGAGCCGGGCCACAAGCCCCATCTGACCCCGCTCCCGAGGCTGGCAGCCTGGCGGACGGGCAGGGCAGGCGGGACGGGCCCTGGCTGGCGGCCACGGGATCTAGCCCCGGGCCATCTCTCCCCCCCGGCCTCGGCCACAGCGGCACTGGAGCGGCCCCGTGTCCATCTCCCTTTGCTCCTCACCCCCAGAGCTGTCTCTGCGGAGCTCGGACGCCCTGGGTGGGCAGGTGGTGTTCTCCAGGGCTGGGGGCTGCACAGAGACGCGGGGACCCAACTGACTCTTGTTGGTGTGAGAGGTCCCCGCCCCCCGCCCTCACCCACCGGCTCCTCCTGGGATGGCCAGGATGGGGCTGGCCCGGTGGATGGTGTGAGGGCTGCTATGGGACCACGGGGGATGCCACCCGGGACCCAAGCCCTCGCTGGCTGCAGCCCCAGCTACATCAGGCCGTCCCCCCGACCAGGGTGGCTCTGCTTGCTCTCCGGCTGCAGCAGGGGCAGCTCTGTAGAGGCATCCAGACCCCAGCGAGTGGTGGGCCCAGAACTCCCGGCCTTTGGCTCTCCTGCCAGAACCCCAGAGACCCCAGAGGAAGGGTCACTCTCGCTGGCCCAGGGTTCAGTCTCCACCGGGGACCCTGCCAGCCACAGCACCCATGCCCTGCTGGGGCCCATGCCTTGGTGTCGCCTGGCACTCTGCCCCTCAGGCTGTGGGGGGAGATGCCAGTCTCAGGCCGTGGAGCTGAGCCCCAGGACTGCGGCTACTGGAGGAGGCCCCATGGCCTGGGGGTCTGCACCGGAGTCTCCTCCAGGCCCTCACTGCGACCCTCCTTGCTGTCCCCACAGCAGCTCCCAGGCTGGGAGGAGCCTCATGCCCAGCCCTGGCCCACCAGACCCCCCAGGCCCTGCCGCTGGCCGTGCTGGGGAGCAGCCCCTCATGGCTCAGCCACCCTGGGCCTTGGCAGCCCCCCTCAGCTCCCCTCCGTCTCCAAGGCCTCTGCGCCCTGTGCGCCCTGCCCCAGGCTTTCCTCCCTGCTAGGACATTCCCCACAACAAGGGCTGTGTCAGCCCAACTTCACGTCTTCCATCCCCCATCACCAAGCCACCAGCCCCTTATCATCAGGCCCCTGGGAGGGCCCGGCTGCTCCCTCATCCCCACCCACTTCCACCTGCTGCTGCGGCCCAGTGCCCCCAGCTGTTGTGGGGATGGGGTCTCACTGTGTTGGCCAGGATGGTCTCAAACTCCCCAGCCCCGGACTTGGGCCTCTCGCCTCTCCAGAGAGTGGCGTGGCCGATGACGTACGTGGGTCCCGGTCACCTACCTGGGTACGCTGCCGCCACAGCCCGCTTCTCCATGGCTCTCCCCTCAGGCCTGTGGAGATGACACAGTGAGGCCCCTGAATGCCCTGCCTGGGTCCCCAGGACGTGCTATCCCCGACCCGAACCAGGGCTAATGGTGACAGGGTGGACCAGGGCCGCAGGACAGCGGAGATCTGTGAACCCCACCTCGGGGCCAAGGGCGGGACGGGGAGGCCCTCATGTCTGCCCCCAGCTCTCTGCCCCTCGGGCCCGCAGCCTGCACGGAGCAAACCCCCTCTGTTTAAATCCTTGACAGATTCGTGCGCTTGGAGCAGGAGTGGCACCCGCCATCCCACTTCCACAGGCTGCTCACGAGGGTGCAGCCCGGAAGATCCTGGAGGGCGGGGAAGGCCCTGGGCCCCAGCAGACGGCGATGCTGGAGCCTGCAGGGAGCGATTAGGAGCTTCGGGGAAGTCCCAGCAAGAGGGACCAGGCCCGGGGGGGAAGGGCGCAGCGTCCCCTCAGAGTACCAGAGGCCCAGTGTCACCTGGGGGCATCGTGGCTGGGAAACGAGGCAGCAGTGAGAATGGGAGGGCCCAGGGGTCCGCCGGGGACTCCCCGTGGAGACACTCTGGGCCCTGGCTCCTTGAGGGGCGCAGCTCCTGCCCTGTGGCACTCTTTGAGGCTACCGCCCACCCGGGTTTCTGATCTGCAGCAAGTGACGGGCCTGCTTCTCCTGCCTGGACGGTGCCTCATGGACCCTCGGGCTGGGGCGGGGCTGCGGCCAGGCGGGATTTGGGTCAGGGGAGCAGGTGGGGCCTGCGGACATGGCCATGGCCCAGCGAGGAAGTAGCCTCTGCCCATGGGGAAGCTGGGCTGGCCGCAGGCGTCTCTGAGGCCCCGCTGCAGGGACGGTGGGGGCAGCTGGCTTCCTGCGGACTCCCACCCTCCTCCCCGGCCGTGAGTGCTGCCTCTCTCCCTCTCCCCTTCCCCTTCCCTTTCCTTCCCCTTCCCTTTCTCTCTCTTACTCGCTCACTCCGCTTTCACTTCTTTCTGTAGCCAGGGTCTGGCTCTGTGACCTGGGCTGCAGGGCAGTGGCACGATCACCACTCACTGCAGCCTCCAGCTCCTGGGCTCAAGCGATCCCCTCACCTGAGCCTTCCAAGGGGCTGGGGCCACAGGAGTGTGCCACCAGGCCCGGCTAATCACAGAACTACACCACGTGTGTCACCACGCCCAGCTAATTACAAACATATTTTTAGAGACTAGGTCTCACCGTGTTGGCCGGGCTGGTGTCAACTCCTGGGCTCAGGAGAATCCTTCCACCTCAGCCTCCAAAAGTGCTGGGATCACTGCACCTGGCCCTTGTTGACTTTTGTTAACAATGGACAAGGTGTCACTCTGTCGCCCGGGCTGGAGTACTTGGCCTCATCGTGGCTCACTGCAGCCTCAACCTCCCATGGAGCTAAGGCTGCAGGCATGTGCCATCATGCCCAGCTAATTTTTAAATTTTTTTTGTGGGGAAGGGGTCTCACTATGTTGCCCAGACTGGTCTCAAACTATCCTCCCACCTTGGCCTCCTAAAAACACTGGGGTTCCAGGCGTGAGCCACCTGCCCAGATGCTCTTTCCGCATGAGGCCTCAGGTGTGCGGGGCTGGGCTGTGTCGGGCATCACCATCCTGTGTCGGGCATCACCTTCCTGTCAGGGAAGCCCTGACAGGCTTGTGCTGTCCTGCAGCCTCCCCCCACCGCCCCCTGTGGCTGGCCCATTCCTGTCATTTGAGGCTCAAGGGGGTCAACAGCCCACCCAGAGCTGGGTCAGAGACAAGGGCTACTTGACTGGCCAGGTTCCTACCCCTCAACAGACTTAAATCCTACAGGCAGCAACTGAATGATAAATAATTAAAGACAAAAGATTTTGAAATGACTTCATTCCGAGTGGGGAGAGTGGGCCTTGGCTTGGCCCCAGGACCCATGTGAGACGCTGGAGTGCGGGCGAGGAGGGGAAGCGGGGTGAATAATTCAGCACCAAGAATAACTGCAGGCTGCCAGGCTGCCAGCCTCAGAGAAAGCAGTGGGATTACAGGAATCCTGAGAGTTTTACGGAACCCCCAGGGCTTTGAGAACATAGAGGCGGAGCCAGGAAGGAGCTTGGGAGTCTCAGCCCAGGGAGGAGGTGGCGCGGGTTCCCAGTCATCGGTCCCACAGACAGCGAGCAGGCCCGAGGCCAGTGTTGGCAGAGACCTGGGAGCTGGGCACACATGGGGACGCGGCACAGGAGCCCTGGGCAGTGGGGGGTGGGCATCTGGGCACCCACTGCCTGCCTGGACTGCACCTTCACACGGGTGCCGGCCCTCACTGCTTTCCCTCATGAGCCCAACACCAGCTGTCCTATGGCGTTCCCAGTGAGTCCGCAGCACCCCGGTTCTGCCCGAGGCAGCAGCCATCGATGTGCCCTGTTCCCTCCTGACCTTCAGAGGCCCGGCCCGGCATTGGCCCGGCGGTCTCGGCCTCCGTCTCAGGGTCAGTGTCTGGGGGCCTGGGTGAGGACACAGTGGCCCAAGCCTCCCCCGGGGTTTGTGTGTGGCTGTTTGCAGCACTGAAAGTCAGGCCTGTGCTGCCCTGTGGACTCGTGCCGTGGATGCAGCCGGGCTCACACAGAAACACAGTGGGAGGCGTGGACTCGTGCCGTGGATGCAGCCGGACTCACACAGAAACACAGTGGGAGGCGTGGACTCGTGCCGTGGATGCAGCCGGGGCTCACACACACAGAAACACAGTGGGTGGTGTGGACTCGTGCCGTGGATGTAGCCAGGGCTCACACACACACAGAAACACAGTGGGTGGTGTGGACTCGTGCCGTGGATGCAGCCGGGGCTCACACAGAAACACAATGGGAGGCGTGGACTCGTGCCGTGGATGCAGCCGGGGCTCACACACACACAATCACAGTGGGCGGCAGTGTGCAGGCCGCAGAGGCTCCATTGCTGACTCCAGGCCCAGGGGCCATGGCCGGCTGCTGGCAGCCTGATGAGGTCAGATGGGTAGATGGGGCTGTGAGGAGGGGCAGGGGCAGTCGGGCCTGAAGGCCCAGCCAGTATCATCTCTGCAAAGCCAACAAGGTGACGTGCCTGGCCCCCTCCTCTCGCCCGTGCCTCTGGCGGTGACCAGAGTGGCCCACTGGCTGACTCAACCACCCTGACAGGTGAGGGTGGCTTTCTGGAGTCCCTGCGCCATGCCTCGGCGGCCCCAAGTAAGCTCCTGGCCTCAGCAGCTCTCCTCACTGGCCTGGCCAGGTGCTCCGAGGAGCCGGGATGGCCCCATGACGGGCTTCTGTGTGCAGACGGAGCCTGAGCATGCCTGGTCCCACCTAGAGCTCCAGGGAGCGCGTCAGAGAGGCCTCGGCCGAGCGCAGCCCGAGCAAGGGACCTCTGGCAGCCTGTGGCCCTGGACCCCGTCTACCCGCACCATGCCTTTGGGCCTGGGCCCGGCCTCAGTCTTCCAATCTGTGACATGGGCAGGTGGACATGCTCCTCGCGCGTGGCTTTGGCATGCGGGCCGCCTGAGCCCTGATGCGGACGTGAGACGTTAGAGCTATGCCTGAGGCCAGTTTGCTGCCAGGCCAGGGAATGTGGTTTGTGGCAGGGGTGTGACGTCCAGGGAACCCCTTCCTGTAGCCTGGCCCGGTGTCTAGGCCCCTGGAGAAGGGAGCCTACTGGAGTGGTCAGAGGCCACGCCTGGGAGCCACAGGCAGATGCTGGTGACAAGGGGCAGGAGCTTTTGCCCGGCTCTGGGGTTCCACGCGGCTCTAGAGCCACCAGGATGTGCCCGGGGCTGCTGAGGGAAGAGCCAGGCAAGAAACCATCGGGAGGAAACTGCAACTGGAACGGGGCGTGGCTTTCAGAGAAGCGGCCCAGGCTTTCCCCACCCTGGCCACCCAGGGGTTTGTGACTTTCAGAGAAGCGGCCCAGGCTCCCTGTGCCTGCTGTGGCGGACTCACGCTCTAGGGCTCTCTGCAGCCCCAAGCGCCCCTGTGAAAGTCTGAAAACCAAGGACCACAGCCGAAGACTTGGGGCCCACTTGGAAACCTCCTTAGTGTCCCCACGACATGGCAGCTACAGGCCGTGTACCCCCGCGACAGCCCTGGGCACGAACACAGACTCTTCCTCAGAGAGCACAGCCCTGTGTCCTGCCCCAGCGCAGCTGGAGAATGTGCCAGCACCAGGAAAGCCTCTCATCCCCGGCCTGGGTGAGGACCTGGAAGTCACGTTGCCCAGGGGACCCTCCCAGGGAGGCCTCCGCAGCCCGGGCAGGCGATGGGGGTTCTGTGACTCTTTTCCAGGTTGAAGAGGATCAGAGCTTGGACTCTCGGCCTCTGGCCTTGGGGAGACCACCGCTTCAGAGCCCTGGGTGCCCTGTCCCCAGTGGGCCTTGGGACGCCTGAGGGGTGTTCCCTGTTTGGGGGAGCCTGTTTGCCTGTGGGGTCCCAACACCCTGGCCGGTGTGGGCGTTCGAAGAGTTAATGGCGGCTCTGCCCCCGCCCCCAGCCCCTCGGTCCGCTGTGGGTCATTCCACAGCCCGCTGAGCGCTGGGCTCACCCCCCGGCCCAGCTGTTGCCTGGCCCTCACACCTGCTCTGGCTTAGGGTCCCTGCTGCTCCCCCCTGGCCCTCACACCTGCTTGGACAAGACACGGCTCATTTTCAATCTTTAAAAGTTTCTGAAGAACCCAATCAATCCCTTCCTCTCGCGGCTCTCGGAACTCCCACCTGGAGGCGCTTCCAGCAGCAGGGCCGGGGTGCCTGGTGCCAGGGAGGTGGGGCTGAGCCCTCAGGCCTGAGGCCGAACAGGCCGTTGTGCCCAGGACTGCAACCCCTTGCTCTGGCCACCCACAGAGGACCCCAGTGCTCCAGCTGCCCAGGGCCCTCCCTGCAGCCCACCCCATTGTCCCAGGAGCTCCCATCCCCGGGGCCCAGCCCCCAGTCTGCAGAGCCCAATCCTCCACCCCAGGGCCAGGCCCCATGAGGACCACGGCCAGCTGCACACAGAGACACGCTGGCCGGTGGGTCTCGTG